AAGATCTGCTGAGGTGACTTTCTGAGTAGTTAGTGAGGGCTCTGTAGCTGGAAGATCTGCTGAGGTGACTTTCTGAGTAGTTAGTGAGGGCTCTGAAGCTGGAAGATCTGCTGCGGTGGGTTTCTGAGCAGTTAGTAGGGGCTCTGTAGCTGGAAGGCTTGCTGCGGTGGGTTTCTGAGCAGTTAGTGGGGACTTTGTAGTTGGGAGATTGTCTGAGGTGGGTTTTGGAGGAGCTGGTGGGGGGTCTGTACCTGGAAGACTTGCCGAGGTGGGTTTCTGAGAAGTTGGTGGGGGTTCTGGTGCTAGAGCATTTACTGTGGTAGGTTTCACAAGTTCTGGTGGAGCCTTGACAACTGGAGGGTTTTCTGTGGAGGTAAAACGCCAAATATTGGGTAAATACTACTGGACAAATTAAGATTGCAAAACCAATTGCTTTCTCCCTGGCTCTTCTTTATCTTTCCCCACAAACATCTGAAAATGACTTTTAGGAAACCTAAGTCTTATTTAGGAGCTCTGGTAGCATAGTGCCTAAGCCATTTGACTGCTAACCAGAAGGCTGGCAGTTCAAACCCACCAGCCACTCCTCAGAAGGAAGGTTGGGCAATCTACTTCCGTAGTGATACCACCTCGGAATCCCAAGGAGGTGTCCTATGAGTCGGGTCTGATGGCAAATAACAACAAGTCTTATTTTGTGTTTCACAAGGAACTGAAATGCTACATTGTTTTTGCCTTGGTATGAATTACAACTACAGCCAACTACAGCAGATCTATACCAGAGTAGTATTGAAGTTGTTAAGCTGTTTACTGTGTAAGGAAAGGAAACTAAAGTCTGAGTTGGCAGTAATCTCATTCCATGAGACATTCTTGACCCTCTGCTCTTTATTTTCTCTTCCAAATTGTTTCCTTACACTCATGCTAAAACCAAAGAACGACAGGACGCAACCATTGGACCAACTGTGATAATCACAACATAGAAATTTTTCAACACTTTCAGGACAGCTGAGTGAGCTTGGAAGTTTGTTTCATTTCTTTTTTAAAGTAACAAAGGCAGTCTGAGTAAAAGAACTCCCTTTTCTCTCTTGTGCTAGTTGTTGTTCTTAGTAGCCACAGAGTCAGCCCCTGACATGCACAATGGAACAAAACACTGCCTGGTCCTAGGCCATCCCCATGATCAGGTGTGGATCAGACGGTTATGATTCATAATGTTTTCATTGGCTGATTTTCGGAAGTAGATTGACAGGTGTTTGTTCCTTGTCTATCTCAGTCTGGAAGCTCTACTGAAACCTGTTCATCATAGCAACACATAAATCTCCACTGAGAGATGGTGGGTGCCTGAGCGTAAGGTGCAGTGGCTGGAATTTGAACCAGGTCTCCTGCATGGAAGACTAGAATTCTACCACTGAACATTAGTTCATTTCCTCTTTGAGTTTTACATCATATAACAAATACTGTGAATGTTAAGATCATATCCTGAGAATCACTATTCTAACAACATAGCAAAGTTTTGAGTCTTCAGTGCCTGAAAGAGCCCTAGTAGTGCAATGGTTAAACACTCAGCCGCTAACCAAAAGGTTGGTGGTTCAAACCCACCCAACTCCTCCAGAGAGAGAGAGCTGGATCTGCTTCCATAAGGATTAGAACCTTGAAAACGCTATGGATGGTTCTACTCTGTCACCTGGGATCACTATGAGTCTAAATAGACCCAGTAGCATCTAACAACAAGAACAATGCCTGTGTGACTTTAGGTTTCTTACACAAACTCTCTTTTAAGGCAGTATTAATAGTGGTTGTGGCTGTTTTAACAAGTTACTAATAACCTTCAGCAAGTCCTCTTATCTCTCTAAGCTTCAGTTTCCTCATGTATAAAATGAGGAGAGAAATAGAGCAGACTGCATAATACTGTAAGGATTAAGGGAAATGACATTACATTATCCAGTACCACTACCATCAGCTTAGTTCACAGACCAGGCATTAAGACATTGTCTGTTGTTTTCTTCTCCTTCCTTTACTTATCTTACAGGATTCTATAAGGGATAACTCATAAAATACCTAGCAGATTGCATAGCACTTAGTGGGCACTCAAAAATCTGTTTTAATTTTTTCTCTTCAATTGCTCATATTTTCTTGCTTCTTTCCATGTCTAGTAATTTTTTTATTGTATGCCATATATTATTGTATATAAAATATCTAAAGGATATTATCTTCCAATGAGAGGTTGCCTTTGCTGACAGGCATATATTGTTTGGAGATGATCAAGTACTCAACATTGGGTACTGGGCTTGGTTACAGTTTTAGTAAAATTCAGTCTACCTCTGCTCATGCCTCTGTTCCTCAGGAGTGGCTCTCCTGGGCTTTTGATTGAAAACCTCATGGATCTTTGTTTCCTCAGCCCTGAAAGATTCCAGGTCTGCCCTCCAAGGTCCCCCAGGCTAGCCACCTAAACTCCTTCCCACACAGCTTCAATATGGATAAATACCTGAAGGGAGAGACAGGCTGTGTGCTTGAGATAGATCTGCCTCTCTGATGGGTCTTTGTTTCCCAAATACCATGAATCTATAAGTGATTTCACTCTGCATTTTAAAATCTCTGAGACTAGCTTCCCAGCCTTGTATGTTGTTGTTGTTGTTGTTGTTATGTGCCATCGAGTCAGCCCTGACTCATAGCGACCCCTCCTTGGGTTTCCGAGGCAGTATCACTACGGAAGTAGGATTGCCCAACCTTCCTTCCGAGGAGTGGCTGGTGGGTTTGAACCGCCAGCCTTCTGGTTAGCAGTCAAGTGCCTTAGCCACTATGCTACCAGCCTTGTATGTAAAAGTCAGTAAATGGCCCTTGGGAAAACTAGCTCTGCTTTGAGAGCCTTACTTTTCCAGGGTTTTACCCTGGGCCTCCACAACCATTAAAAGCTTTGAAGATTTCTCTCTTCCCTGGAAGCGGCCATTAGTCAAGATCATCAAGATAGATCCTCAGCCCATACTTAGAATCAGCAAATGTTCCCAGAGAAAAAGACAATTGACTCACCTCATGGCTTGTGTTCACAGTACCCCACCCTCACACCAATTTTAATTCATCTAGTCCTTACACATGGACTGGGCCAGATGGAATACACAGGAATCAAACTGACTACATCAGTGGAAAGACACGATGGAGAAGCTCAGTATCATCAGAACAAGGTGAGGGGCCAACTGTGGAATAGACCATCAATTTCTCCTATGCAAATAGAAGTTTAAGCTGAAGAAAATTAAAACCACTCTACAAGAGCCAAAATATGACCTTGAGTATATCCCACCTGAATTTAGAGACCATCTGAAAAACAGATTTGATGCATTAAACAATGACTGAAGACCATTGGTGTAGGATGACATTAAGAACATCACACATGAAAAAAGCAAAAAGGAAAGAAAGAGAAGAATGGATGTCAGAAGAAATGCTGAAACTTGCTCTTAAATGGAGAGTAGCTAAAGCAAATGGAAGAAATGATGAAGTAAAAGAGTTGAACAGAAGATTCCAAAAGGCAGCTTGAGAAAATCAGGTAAAGTATTATAATGAAATTCACAGACACATGGAGTTAGAAAATCAAAAGGGAAGAACATGTTTGGCACTTCTCAGGCTAAATAAAGTGAAGAAATAGTTCAAGCCTTGAATTGCAATTCTGAAGGATTCTATGGGCAAAATATTAAACAATGCAAGAAACATAAAAAGAAGGTGGAAGGAATACACAGAGTTACTGTACCAAAAAGAATTGGTTGATGCACAGCCATTTAAAAAAAAAAAAAAAAAATCCCAAAACCAAACTCACTGCTGTGGAGTCTATTTGACTCATAGCAACCCCTCCTTGGATTTCTGAGGTGGTACCAATACGGAAGTAGATTGCCCAATCTTCCTTCTGAAGAGTGGCTGGAGGGTTTGAACTGCCAGCCTTCTGGTTAGCAGTCAAATGCCTTAGGCACTGTGCCACCAGAGCTCCCTCAACCATTTTTAGGAGGTAGCATATGATCAAAAACTAATGGTATTGAGTGATCAATATGGTGGCATTGAGGAAGAGAAAGACAGAGAGAGGTACGTGGGAGGTACAGACAACAAAGATGAACCCTTTTGCACATATAGTACTGCGTTGTCAGTGAAGGCAAACATGGATATATGGGTGGACAGGCTAAACTATTAGGTATGTCTATAAAGTGGGAGTGTATCCAAGAACATCTATAGGGTTGGCAGATAATGGTCCTATAAGTTTATGTGAATGATCAGAATTCCCAGGTGTATAGTAGAGCTGACAAGGGGCAAGGTTGTAGTCATTGCTTGGCCACAGCCAGCTACCCAGAGGGACTGAGTAGTGGAACCTGTGGGCTTGGGACCATAATCACAGGGGACATCAAGCTCAATTGACATAACATACTATACAAAACATTGTTCTACCTTCTACTTTGGCGAGTAGCGACTGGGATCTTGAAAGCTAGCAAGCTGCCATCTAGATGCAACGATGGGTCTCTCCTTGTCCAGAGCAAAGAAGAATGAAGAAAACCAAAAATTCATGGAAACAATTAGTCCTAGCAACTGGTACACCATCCGGTCTGCAG